AAAAGTTAACCCCTTTTGAATTTTATGGATTTCTATTGTTACAGTCCTATTAGTTTTTCTTTTTCACTATTTAAATGATTATTTTTAATATTTTTTGTTATCTTTTTTATATTGTTTCCAATATTTAAAATTTTTAAATGTTAGAAGGCACCTCATTGCTCAAGCTCACATTCAAATTTAAATCATTGCAATTTGGAATCTCAGAAAGACCTGAGACAGTTTATCAAAAGAACCGAAAATGTTTGCAGGAAAAAAAAAAAATGGGGCTGGAAAAGTACTCAAAAGTGTTTCTTTTTCATGTGATTTATATGACCTTTATATTTTTAACATTTTCCACATTTACAAAACACGAGCATAAAATCTGTCAACTTTAAACAGGATGGTCAGGTGGTGAGGGGCAGGACCCAATATAACCAGAAAGACTGTCTGACAAAAAATTTCTGGGATTTTTTGGCCAATCTAGATCCTGAGTTCTGAAGAGTGGTGGGCTGCTACCCTAACCACTTAGACATCCAGCTACCAAAATACATTATTAACTACAGATTTATTCATTTAATACATGTATTTAAGTTAAGCAGTTCTAATTATTATTTTTGAGAATTTCATTGTATAGTTCAACTTGTGAAAATCAGGATTGACAAGATATTATAAAACCTTATTTTCCACTTATGTAGGCTGACACAAGAAAGTGGTCACTACTTCAAAATGAAAATTGATAATTTTCTTGTTTGAATTCAATACTCTCAAGCTCTCTCTGTATTTGTCTGTCATAATTAAGGATAGTCGACATTTTTGTTAATTTTCTTAACGTGTCAATGCATTGAGAGAGCAAAAGCAATCTCTTGATGTTTTAAAACCAAAGTGAAGTAAGGTTGAAACACAAGTATATAAAAATATAGCAAAAATGCACACTTTCAGAACTTCTGGTGAATCTAACACAAAACTCAGTATAAAAACTTTCTTTTTATATACTAAAAACACTATCAGAGCATAGTGAGAAGTCTTTCATAATGACATCCACTCTAGTCTCATTTTAAAAAAATTGGTGTATATTTTTCACTGGGAATGTATAGAAACCAAACTATGTCTAAATCTAAATTTGATTCCAGATTTAATATACACATTTGAGATTGCTTATATAGTTATTGAATATAGATTTAGTAAGACTGAAAATTCTGTAAACAAATTCTTGTTTATTCAATATTTGAGATATTTTGATGTAAAATTAGCCTTTTGTTTTCTTCAAATGTTCGTCAACTTATCTTTAAATTCTATTCCATAATTTAAAAAATAGTTACACATATTTATTTAATGAGGAAATATATATATCTTTTAAACTTCTCTAACATCCCTTATAACAAAAGACATTTTAAAAACTTTGATTTAAAAAAAGAAAAAGCTAAAAAATTTGTTTCCTATCCAAAGTCAACAACATGAAACTACAAAAAACCAATGTTTACTATATCTATTTTTACTTTAAAACATTTAAACAAACACTTTATTTGTTTATTTAGCAACAAAAAGATTATCAATGAAGACAGATTTTATCTACAATTATTTGTAAATAATTCTTCTTTTAATACAGTATTTATTTAGTGAATAAGATCATTCATCTTTAATGTACATTATTACTATTAATTCTGATTTATAAACAATTTTTACATTACATTTATAAACTATTCATTTGATTGTTTAAAATTAACAATAATAAATATGTGGATATAGCTTTAAACATATTGTTTAATATTATATATAAATTTGATTATTTAAAAATAGAAATATTTAATGAAATGTATTGTAATTTAAAACATTTTGTTTCATAGTTTTATAAAAACTACAATATTTTGCTGTAATTTTGATTATATTTAAATTTACTGTAATAATTTTGCACTGTCAGTCAAATAATAATGAAAAATATATTTCTTCATTATTAATTTCAACATTTTCAAATTAATTCTGCTGCTTTATGCATATAAAGCATTTTAATTAGTTTGAGTAGTCTTCCTCCATGACAGTTTTTTTAATATACATTTTGAATTAATGTGCTTTTGACTAAATATTTATTTATTCAAAGTTAAATATGAAAATATCAAATTTTAATAATTTTGGAAGTCTAAGCACACATTAATGATAAAAAATATTATCAGAAAAATTCTTAAATAATTATTTAATTTATATAAAATAAAGTTAAACTAAAAAAAAAGACAAGGAAAACTTAAGCATTTAAGATACAAAACTTAAATGAAAATTTATTTTATATAATTAGGTATTTTATTTATTTTCAAACATCATATAGTTTGTTTATATCCTATTTATTTGCTAAACATGTATACAAATGTATTGATCTTAATGATATGAATATTTGAATAACTTACTGGTTTTATTGGCAAAGTTAAGCTACTTCAATCAATAAAATCTAGCATTTAATTAAAATTTCATTTGAGCAAACAAAATATGAAAACAAAGATTAACTAAAATAGAATTGTATTTTATCTTATTTTCTGACTTTCATTGTAAAAACAACATTTATATTTTGTGATAAAATTTGGTAAAAATAAACTTTATCAAGATTTATCATAAGAATATCTATCACTTTTCAAATTTAAGAATCGGTATATCAGTGTTTAAATTTTTTTTTGATGCTGCAAATATCCTATACAGCAGGGGTATTAAATTATTACTCTGAAGAATCAATCAGATAAATACAGATAGCATTTTGAATGGAATACTTGATGTATCTGCTAGCAATGTTAAAACAATTATTTATACATATAAACATTGAAAGACTATCATAATTTAACTTTTGTCTGACATCATTTATATTTCATCTAACAGAAACAAATGTAAAAAACAAATTTATCAATAATTAATACCTTGTAATAACAGACATGGTTGTCAAGCCAAAACCAAAGAAAATTATAAGCAATAAAAATTATTTAATACAAATATACTTTATTACACGTAGAATATTATTACAATGAAATGGTTACCATGTGTGTGTCTGATAATCCTTTCATTGTAATAATCTACACATGTGTAATAAAGTATATTTGTATTAAATATTTTAAAAAAGGGATTAAAGGCTTATTGTTAAATTCAATGGAAATTAATTCTAGTACAGTAGATTCCCCTATAAAACCGTTTCCTATAGTTATGATTCCTATAAAAATTGTGGCAGTATCCGTAAACAACGGTAAAAATAACTCCTATAATACGTAAAACGTCATCGGGCAGCCGAACTACTTTCCCGCCGTCCGTAGCGCCACGCTACGGACGTNAAAAAAAAAAAAAAAAAAAAAAAAAAAAAAAAAAAAAAAAAAAAAAAAAAAAAAAAAAAAAAAAAAAAAAAAAAAAAAAAAAAAAAAAAAAAAAAAAAAAAAAAAAAAAAAAAAAAAAAAAAAAAAAAAAAAAAAAAAAAAAAAAAAAAAAAAAAAAAAAAAAAAAAAAAAAAAAAAAAAAAAAAAAAAAAAAAAAAAAAAAAAAAAAAAAAAAAAAAAAAAAAAAAAAAAAAAAAAAAAAAAAAAAAAAAAAAAAAAAAAAAAAAAAAAAAAAAAAAAAAAAAAAAAAAAAAAAAAAAAAAAAAAAAAAAAAAAAAAAAAAAAAAAAAAAAAAAAAAAAAAAAAAAAAAAAAAAAAAAAAAAAAAAAAAAAAAAAAAAAAAAAAAAAAAAAAAAAAAAAAAAAAAAAAAAAAAAAAAAAAAAAAAAAAAAAAAAAAAAAAAAAAAAAAAAAAAAAAAAAAAAAAAAAAAAAAAAAAAAAAAAAAAAAAAAAAAAAAAAAAAAAAAAAAAAAAAAAAAAAAAAAAAAAAAAAAAAAAAAAAAAAAAAAAAAAAAAAAAAAAAAAAAAAAAAAAAAAAAAAAAAAAAAAAAAAAAAAAAAAAAAAAAAAAAAAAAAAAAAAAAAAAAAAAAAAAAAAAAAAAAAAAAAAAAAAAAAAAAAAAAAAGACTGAAAAGTTCTCTTATTGATCACAGAAAACAATTTAGACATTTACTTTTCGAATAAATGGATATCAATTTGAAGTAATTATTCATAAAATTCACTTTCTGCACTTTAATAAATAGTGGCATTTATCAAAATTGCAGAAGGGCTACTTCATTTATGTTTTGTATTAATGTAAATATAATATAAACAACCTAATAAGAACACCTGTTAATTAGTTTTGATTAATTTGTGTGAATATAGCCCAATAGAAAATCTGGAAAATCATATGTTAAAGAAATTAAATGTACTGAACTTAAATAGTCGAACTTCATTTTTATTTAGCCTTTGTAGTTTTAGTTAAAAAAATTAAACTTTTACATACCAAAAATTTATATATAATAATAATAATGATAAAACAGAGCATTTGTTGTTATAAATTTTAAAATAATTTTGTACTAAAAAATTATTTTATTTTACTTAAAAATAATCCTCTGTTATAAAAATAAAAACAGAAGCAGCTGTTGTAAAGAATTTATGGGAATTCAAAATATGAACTGATTTGATCTCATAATATATGTAATATCAGCAGTATATTACATATATTACAAGATCAAAATTGTCACTTCTGCTAAATTAATGAATGCATAAACTAAGAAATTTACAGCAGTTTATATGACATTTTCTTTGTTTGTCATTATCATTCAGCTTTTTAAATAGCACAATATTAAACAGAGAGAGAATTTAATGTGTATGAATATGGTAAGATTTAATTCTTTTATGGATCAAACATATATTTCTTTATTTTATATTTTTTATGTTAATCTGAACTTCAAACTTCTCTATCTCTACAGCTAACTCATTTGCTATTTTTTCGTCTTAATAAATATTAAAAATTAGTTTCTCTTATTTCTATAAAAAATTATACCAATCTAATATTTTAAACCAATGTTAAGAGATAAATTACTGTCACAAGCCATATAATCTACATAGAAATTACATTTGATGTTCAATTGTAATCTTATTCATATAACTCAATTTAACATGAAATAAAATTAAAGCTATATTAAATTACAAACTTACATCAGACAATGTATATAATCCATATGCAAAAATACTGCAGTAAAATGTAAATCTCCATCTGAAAGTATTATTAATTAAACAATTTATTAATATTTCTATATATTAATGCATATTTTAATATTTATTCTAATTATTCACTTTAAAACAACTTGGAATATCACAGTAATACAAAAATTTAAAAAAATAATATTAAATGACCTTTCGATATTTTATTCAACAAGAAATTTATAACAAATAACATTAAAAATGTGCAATATAATAAATGAATTAAATTTTTTTTGTGTTTGATATTTAAAAAAAATTATCCAAAGTACAAATCATATCAATTTATTTCAGTATTTAATCAATTTAAACAAATGTTGAGCTGTGATATTACTGTGAATAACAATGATAATATTTTGCTGTTATCAGCTAAAGGGGAAAGAAATTGAAAATGTAGATATCGTCAACAGTTAAAAGGTCACGCTAATAAATACGATAATCTATAAACAGATTATTTTGAGAATTGTAAGTGCATTTGCCTATTATGTGAACTTCAAACTTACGAGCTTTCTGTGAATTTTGCAAGAGTCGTGGGCTTATCTTGAAGCGTCCGCTGTCGTAACCATCTTTCCACTTTTCTCTCAGTCCAATCTAATTGCTTAGCCAAACCTTGAATCTGTAAAATATTTTTTTAATTGTTCAATTTTTAATTAAATGAAGGAAAATCCAAATACATTAAATTATTGCATAAATGTGGCTAGAAACTTTTACCTGTTTGTAACCTATTCTTCCATTAGCTCGAAATGCTTTCTCTAAGACGTGATTCTCGGGAGCTCTTTTGGGACGAGAAGGTTTTAAACCAAAATATATTCCAATGGGTGTAAATATATACCTAAAATTTAAAAATAAAAATACATAACGTATTTTAATATATAAATTTACAAAGCAATACGTGCACATTGAGTTTATCATTTAATGTTTATCATTTAATGTTAATTACTTAAAAAAATAATAAATGATTCATTTTCTTTAAGTAAAATATTTAATATTATATAAAACTTTTTTATCATGTCAAAGTTAAAAAGGTTCAGGGTTAAAATAAATTTTATTTTCAAAATTTTGTTCTAACATGCTTATCAAGCATCATATGAAAATTACAGAAAGTTTACGATAATTTTGATTGCATCAATTTCACAAATCTTATGTCCAAATTCATATTAATTTCAAAATTCGAAATTTATTATAAGACTTGAGGAATTAACATCAAATTCCTCAAGTCTTATAATAAATTTCCAGATTATATATCTAAATATTGAAATACAACCATTTCTTTTAACAGTCAAAGAGTATATTACTAAACAATATATTGTTTATTCTGCATTTTCAGCTAAACAAAATTCTCATTCAGTCAATAAATTTGCATTTTTTGACTGAATATTTATATTTTTGTTATCTTACTGTAATTGTAATTAATCCATTCATTTATTTATTGATAAATTGTATTTAGTGAAAAGTAAGTGTCATTATTCAACACTACTGTTACTCGGTAAACAACAATATGCAAAATCATATTGTATCGAACAGTTACCTAAACTTCTTGATTTTTGGGCCAAGCTATATATAAACATTTTTACTGACCTATATTACATGCATTTATTGATTTCTTGCAACATTAAACATTTAGAGGACAAATTACTTAAAATATTTTCATTTAAAATTAGCAGTTTGTAAGAAAATTCATCTGTCAAATCATACATTTTACACAGATTATAATCATCCATTAAGCTAACTTTTTCATCTCTATGTCTTTTTGAACAAAGATATTGAACACAGCAATTCAAATTTTATGAGAGATAAATACAAGTTCAAATCATTTCTTTAAAAATAGAATAATATTAAGCAAAAATATTGATGTAACTATCCTTAGCGAAAAGCTACATTTGCTATGTAAAACAATCAAAAATATTTGAACTTAAATTTTTGATTTATTAGTGTGTTTATAAACACACTAATACAAAAAATACAGCTTCAAAAATACTTTATAAACAAATGTTTTTGATAGTCTTAAACAATTGGAGTCATGTTTTAATTTAGTAAATTTGAATGGCAATCATAATTAGAATGAAACTGTTTAAATAAAAAGAATATTGATATTATTGGATATAACAGCAAGCATAATAGGTGATGTATATGTTACACATGATGTCTGTTAAAGGGTTTCTTTCTTCCAGATTTTTTTGTGTTAGTGTATTTATTTGAGCTTTATCCAGTTGTATGAGCAGTTTATTTAAATATTTGAACTTATGATCTGAAAATTAACTAAAACAGAAACATCTAATATTAAAGACAAATAAAATAAAACTATACAAATAATTCTTTCTATTATAACATCATTGTAATCTCACATCAAACTCAGTGGTTGATTAAAATCTTGCCAAAAATATTTAAATGTATTATCAATATTTTTCAAATGTGAAGTTAAATTTACAGGTTTTGACCGATGAATTCACAAATATTTATCAATTTATCCATTACATTCCATGCAATTATTTATAACACCAGTTTTTATATTATTTTTACATCTACTTGAATTAAAAGAAAAAAAAAGTGAATTTTTATACTAGATTAATTAACACAAAGTTCTTAAATAACAAAACTGTTTTTCAATTTATTCATCTGGATCATTAGTAATAATCTACTAAGTAATGAACTGCGATTTCAAAACCAGTGGTTTATAACTTTACACACATTTACATACAAAACAATGAGTGAATATGTAACACTTAGAAAGCACAGATTTAAATCAATAAATTAGTAATAATACACACACCTTAACATACTAACTTTTAATACATAGTTGAGAATATGAAAAACTCGCATGCTAACAGTTAATATTTCTTATAAAAATGATTTTTTCTTGAGTTTAGATTTCAGAAAACAGTTGGCAGAAGTTCTTGCTTGATTTTTCCAGCAATTGAACAAGAGGTTAAGGGGACAGTTAGTAAGTCTAATAATTTTCAATTATACTGTGATAATAAGAAAAACAAAACTTTAAAAATCCAACAAATAACTACTAATAAAAATGTTTTCGAATGGTTTTACTAATCTTCCTCAGTTAAGATGAAATAGATCGTGAAAATAGAACGTAAATTTAAAATTTTTAAAGGTATGTTTTTCTTATTGACTATTTTTATTGAATTGAAAGAAAATATATTGATATATTGTGTTATAAAATTTAAGTAAAAGAGGCTTAAAAGGAGTAATTTTGATGATTTATTGTTATGAGATAATAATACAAAAGATATTTTTTAATAATAATTATTATTATAAAAAGGCAAAAAAGCTTAATTTTGAGATATGACATGACCCTCTATCTCCCCCATGTTCTCAAGTTCCTTACTCCAAAATTTAATAGCATCAATGCTTATTACACACAAGTTACTATACCAAATTTTGTTTCTTAATCTTTACCCTATCCTGAAATATTAAATAAAAAAAAAACACACATACACACACAAATAAAATTCACCCCTTCTTTCTTTTTTGGGTTTAGGGTATCACAAAACATCCAAGATTTCTAAAAACCAGAGTGTCAAATTTGACACTATTACAATACTTTATTGTATTATAGCAACTAGGAGAGTAAAAACAGATACAATATATATATATGTATATATATATATATATATATTATGCCACCCCAAATTTGGGGTGGCATAAAGAATGGATAATCTGTTATCTGAGGATAGAGGACATCATGACTGTTCAGAAAATTAAATATTGTGTTTAGTAAAAGTGTCATAGTTTGAGTTATTTGACATTTTCTATTTTCTTGGAAAATGGACTCCCTCGTTCATATTTTTCAATGTCATGGTCACAAATGGCATGATGACGGCTGAGACATACCTGGATTTCTTAAGAAATGATCTCCCTACTTTGCTGGAAGATATTCCATTGGAGCACAGAAGAGGAATGTGGCTGCAGCACGATGGTTGACCTGCGCATTATGCACACAATGTATGGGAATACCTGAATGAGAGGTACCCCAATAGACGGATTGGACATTTGGGAAAAATTTTTTGGCCTCTGCATAGCCCAGACCTTAACCTGATCAACTTCTTCTACTGGGATGCCTTAAGAACAAAGTGTACAAAGAGCCCATGACCTCAATTGAGCAGCTTCGGGAGCGAATCGAAACAGCTACGCGGAAAATCAGTGAAGCAAGTATTGTGGGAAAAATTAAGCAATCATTTATCAGAAGATGTAGGGCATGTGTCAGGGCCCATGGTGGTTATTTTGAACACTTATTGTAAATTTACAATAATAAATGTAGTAACCCAATTGATCATTTTGTTTTATTCTGTCATTTTAATTAGATTCATTGGATTTCCAATTAGATTATTTAGGAGCGCAATTCATTCATGAGATTTTAAAAATTTTCCTTGATATTTCTCAGCAGGAATATTCATTGAATTGAAAGTTACAAATGCCATTTATACTATTTTAAATCTTAGTACAATAGGCAAATTAGTTAGTTAGTTTGTCACGCAGGTTACAATACACCGAAAAAAAAAATGAAACAAAAATTTTGAATTATTTTTTGTTCTAAAAAACACCAAGTCTATGGCACTAAAATGGCAGTTTACATTTGATAGAACATGTATCCAAGATTAGTATTCAAAAACAGACTGGAAAAAATCCTTGATTTGTGACCATGACATTGAAAAATCTGAACAAGGGAGGCCATTTTCCAAGAAAATAGAAAATGTCAAATAACTCAAACTATGACACTTTTATTAAACACAATATTTAATTTTCTGAACAGTCATGATGTCCCCTATCCGCAGGTAACGAATTATCCACTCTACACCACACCCTGTATAAGCCAAGAAATTTAAAGACAATTATTTTTAAATTAATTTACTAAATTAAAGTAGTAATTTCATTTTTTTGCTTGTTTTCTATACATTTATTCTACTCTGTATTGTTTAAATCAAATGAAAATATATCAAAAATAATATATGCACAAGCAATTCTTATAAAACTCCTAACACAAAAATATTATTTAGAAAATTGATTAATTTTCTAATTTTCTGCTGGACCAAATCTGATGACAACCAATGTCTTTTCTACTTTTATTAATATTAAACATAATATTTGAATTAAAAGAGGAATATAAGAAAAAAAATTTCATCAAGCATATTTATTGTTGATTGGATAAGTAGGTTAAAAGTAAAAGATGAAAGATTTCCTTAGAGATGAATGAGCCAAATACTCAAAACAAATCTTCAATCAGAACGCTTCATTGAATAAGATAAAAAGAAAATTACTACATTATTATTAAATTTATTTTTGGAAGGACAAAACCATAAAGATGTTATACAACACACAACCTAAAAAATTTAATAAGCATAAACTATAAAAAGAGAAGAATAATATTTTATATAGATATTTTAGTAGGCATTTCCTTCATTTAATAAAAACAAAATTATAATAAAATATTAATACAAAAATGTATATATATTTCATTTGTAAGTAAGAAAAAACAATTCTGTATAAATGTTAACTTTTTAATACAAACAAATTATATTTAAACTAACAAAAATTGTATCTTATTCCAGCAATACTCATATATGCTATATTATTGCCAAATTAAAACATTAATTCTTATATTACTGCTATGTTTAAATTAAATTTATTGGTTGTCTATAATCAACATCTGATTTTATCTGATATTATCTGATAATCAACATATCTAATCTATATTGAAATGCATAAACAATAACCGAACAGAAACTAATTTCTCTGATGACAAAAATATGATAAAGAAATTACCAAACTTTGAAAATATACTGTAATTTATTCCATTTTCTAAGTTAAAATTAATTTCAA